CCGATACTTGATCAGCTTCTGAGTTTCTAAAGTCTAAAAAAAAAAAAAAAACTTATTTTTTACAGAATCAAAAACTTCTAAAGACGAGGGAAAAAATATTGTTCAATTAAAATATCCCAATATCTTCATATTCTGATATATTGCCATTTAAAAACACCATATCAATCTCTTTTACTAATGAAATATTGCTATATGTCATCGTTATGCTACGAAATCCCCCGAAAATTCACGAAATGTTGCCATATTTTTATATGTTGATATATTGACGCGGTATCAATCTGTTTTACTAACAAAATCTAACAAGAATTTGCAAAATATCACGAGAGTTTGTAACAGAACGATGAAATTTCACGAGATTTTGAAAGTAAAATAGATCGATACCACGTTTTTAAAAATCAATTTGATATCAGCATATGAAAATATATTTGAGTATATTATTTTTCAAAGTGTCAGAAATGGATAACAAAACTGCTATTTTCAATGACTACTTATTTTTGTCTAGCATATCGGATATCGGCCAAAATCCCAATATCGTGCATCCCTAATATAAACTGTATAATTTCATAACACAAAATGGTTTTCTTAGTTCAGTTTCTTGCAGAAGGGACTACGTCGTATCAGAATGCTAAAGATGTACAGACATTGTTGGAAAAGCCTCTTAGACGAAGGGGTGGAAAAAGAAGAAAGGTTCAGTTATTTTCTGCTTAAACATCTGAGAAAACCCAGATTTACTGTATTCACTGTGATTGCTGCTCTGCTGCTGATTCCCCTTGACTCCAGTCTGATATTGAGAGATGCGGACCATTACGGATAACACGCAGCCCCCCTCCAATCCCCAGAGTATAACAACTCCCACCCCAGGCAGCCACTAAAAGCTACTCAACGAGGAAAGAAAACACAACTTTTAGCTATAAAAGCATCTGTTACAGGACTCAGAGGTCCATTTGATCAATGGTTTCTACTACCCATCTGTGGACATTTCTCCAGCAGATATATAGTTACTGTATAGTCCTAACAAATAAATACTCAGATGTTGCTCATCTCAGCAACCAACAGCAGAGAGAGAGAGGGACAGCTCCCCGATCGATGACGGCGTAATGCAAAAAGACCATCTACACTCACACCAGAGGGCAATTAAGAGCAGCCAGTAAAGCTAACATCCATCTTTCTGGGAGAGTGGAGGAAACCGGAGGAGCCTAAGATGCCAAATCCACACTGAAAGGCTACACAAAACCAAGCCGCCGAGCAGACATGAAAAGCACATCTGAAGCACAAAAAGCCAATCTAGAAGAGTCATTTCTGGAACAAAGACACAGGAGGGAGCAGTTTTATTACTGTTGGGTAACGTAAGGATAAGCTTCAAAGCTAAAATACACACATTAAAGTTGCTCATTGATTTATCATCATTTTAGCATAGAGTTTTGATTTGTTCTTTTTACTGTACCTTTAAACACAGGGCTGTGAAAAAGTATTAGCTCCTTTACCGATATTATCTGTTTATATTTGTCAGAATTAAATGTTTCCGATCAAACTAATATTAAAGGAAAATAAAATCTGTGTAAATAAATGAAGCAGCTTTTTAACCAGGCTTTTGCGTGAGTGACTCATAAATCAATGCATCACATTGTTTCAGTTTAGCTTCAGCAGCCACACTCAGACCTGATTCCACCAAAACTGCAGAACCAAATCATTATTTTAGAACCTGTCTCACAACTTGAAGTAGGCAGACATATCTTAAAAGGGCCTTTATAATTCAAAATATATTTATTTGAGCTTTTAACTGTTACAATGCTAGTCCTTCATCCAAATCATGTTCATAGTGGTGTTTTGCAAGATTCATGCATCTCTGAGTAATCCACATGAGTTCTGCTGTCTGAGCAGCAGCTCCTCCCTGACACATGGAAACCACGACGATTTGTACATCAGAGAGCTGCTTCCAGGAAGCAGCTTCCTTAACAACGCTACGCCTGCACTGATTACAGATGAAATTTTTCTGCAAACAAGGAGTGATGATGTGAGGCGCAGCTTATCTGCACAGGGCAGCAATTTTTCTTTTTAGCCAGAGGTCACGGATTAGCGGACTGCAGTCCAGGTCCGGACCCTCCTGCTGGCTAACCTAACCTGGACCTAACCTGATTGAAAACATTTAGAAATTACTGCATGTTATCCAACGACAGGGTCTAACTTCACTTGTGCTGCTAATCCTGTTAATATGGTAAAGCCATTCGGAGCGTCTGGGACCAGGCTGCACTTGATCCAAATTAGCCAATAAGCTGCTGTCAGTCTGGGTTGCTGCTGCTGCTACTTTTAGACACAGCAGGCAAACCTGTGGCAAGCCACACTATGAGAAAGAGGAAGATGATGAGAAAAAGAGAGCAGAGAAACTGGACTGCTGAAAGAAAAGTGAAATGGCGTGCTCAAAGATGACCCTGCACATTTTAAGTATGTTTGGCTCAACCTGCTGCTGTAAAGCAGGATTCTCCGCCATGAACAGAATCAAAAATAAATATGGATCCAGGCTCACGAATGAGCACCTTGATATGTGCTTGAGAATGACTTTGTCTCCATTTAATCCCAGGTTTAAAGCCTTGCAGGGCAGTCTAAAGACCACTGCGAACATTAAACCATAAAAAAGAAAGAAAAAAAATTAACAGTCAGTTCAGGTGTTTTATAAAATATGTGAATCAGGAAATTGTCTATATACCAAACTGAACGATTCATGTTCTCTACTTAAAAAAACACTTTAGATTTTAAAATAGAAAATTTTCTATTTTTTTATTCAAAATGTAACATTGATGCATAAACACCTAATTTTATATCAGTGTTAAATTCTGTTTAAAGTAACGAATCATAATTAAAAATGTCACCGGAGCTTTACTGGCTGTTGATTTTCATTATTCTGACCCTGCTGATTTTTTGTTGGTTAAGTCAACGTCTAAGTTGTGAAAATCAATTTTGTGGTCTCTCAGTGGTGGGAGGTCTCTGACGTTGATCAACCTTCAGAATTGAATTTTTATAGTGACATCATGAAATGGGCGGGAACCAGACATGGGCTTTCTTTTATCTGGGATTAGAATAAAACATTCATTCAACAAATCAATCACCCTATATTTCATGAGGTTTTATTACATCTAATATGTACCTATTGATAAAATTTGAAGGCTTAAAGGGGAACGCCATTTTTTTTACATTGGGTCCTTGATTTTACGTTATTACATCATGTTCTACTCGCCCATATGAGTTTTGCGTCATTTGGAGCCGTTCTGAAGATATTCCGTTGGGTTATATCCAAGTAACGTCTTCCTTTGTGCAAAAAGTTGAAGGCACAAACTAAACTGTTCATAATTGATCATTTATGGTACGCCAGCATTCATAACATGTAGGTGAATCACTGTCCTCGTGACATCCGCGGTTATATTTTTTATATTTATATTTTTTTTAAACAAAGCGGAGTGTGTATGACGTCATTCGCGCACCGGACTGGAGCTGTGACAGGCAGCCCGGGCCACAGCCGGCTACGCTCTACCCCTTATATTCATTCGGCGAGCTAATCTGAATCATTCAATTCCATTTCGAGAGCGAGATCATCTGTGGTAGCAGCACTAGACATCTTCCAGGCATGTGAGGAAAACTAGCAGCAGTTCAGCGGACAGGATGAATGAATGGTAGCCGGTGCACGTGGATGACATCATAAACGCTCCGCTGGGTGAGTAGGACATGATGTGATGACGTAAAATCAAGGGCCCAATGTTAAAAACCTGTTGTTCCCCTTTAAGGAGGCAGGATATAGAACATATAAGTACTAAACTTCATCCTCCTATTTTAAGATTTAAGAACATATAAGATACAATCTATACAAAAAAAGGGGAAGATGGCCTCCATGGGAGATCATAACCACTGCTGACCAAAAGAAACATAAAGGTCTCACATTTCCCATAAACATCTTTTTGACTGACAAGATAAAAAGGGGATTTTTGGAAGCTAGTTTGCCTTTTCAATGCTGTATAAAAACTGAAAGAATCAGAGACATCATCCCCACAGTCAAACACTGTTGGTAGTATGATGGTCGGTTACTTTTCTGCTTTAGGAGCTGGACAACTTGTGATAACGGATAAATCCATAAATTCTGTTTTCTATCGGGAAATCCTGATGCAGACCTTATTTTATGACCTTACACTCAAACTGGATGCTGCAGCGGGACGTTGATCTGCAGCAAACAAGTCAGCTTCTAAAAGCTTAAAAAAAATAATAATATTTTTGATGTGGAAGTGGTGAGTTATCCCTGCTACTAAAAGCAACAATAAAGATATTTTGTTTTGCAGGTGATTGCCAAATTTTTTTCTTTTTTCTGGAAGAGTCAGTTTCTGGTATAAAAGTATGTCCATACAGAGGCAGAAATTACAATCTACTATCATAATGTAACAAGGTCATTTTGAATTTTCAATAAAAGTGAGTGTAGATCTGCTTTATATGCAAAACGTTAAACTTAAAATACTTCTGCTCTGATCAAAGTTACTTATAAAATAAATCTAAAATAATTAATAACATCAATACAAGAAAAGGGGAAACAGTTAAATAATGAAGATTTTGGGGTGGCCTAGTCAAAGTCTTACATTAAGTCTCATTGAGATGCTGTGGTATGAAATAAACAGGCTGAATAAAAACATTCCTGCTAAGCAGAGAGAACCATATTTCCTGGAACAATCTATTAGTAGGTTTAGTTTTTAATAGACTTGCTGGTTTGGAGCTTCCTTTTGCTCTAAATAGATAATATCGTATAAGAAAATTGATATGCTGATATATTTAACAATGACATAAAAAATAAAAAGAATAGTGCACTTTTTTCCCCCATCATTATAATAGTGATGTAATCAGCCACATTCACGCTTGAAAACAGCAGCTGTAAAGGCACCAAGGCTTGAAACCAGAGAGGGAGAAAAAAAAAAAAAAAACACTCTTTCAATTACGACATCCATCGGGAAGAGGGAGGGGGGACTCACCCTGTGAGTACGACCACGAAGTCCATTACATTCCAGCCGTTGCGGAGGTAGGAGCCTTTGTGAAACGCGAAGCCCAGGGCGATGATCTTAATGGCGGCCTCGAAACAGAATATTCCAATAAAGTAGGGCTCTGTGTCGTCCTAAAGAAAGACGGAGAGGAGGAGATTGGCTGTTTTTCTGAGAGGTAAGAGCTCAAGGAAGCATGAAGGGAGGCAGATAGTGAGGCAGAGGAAGAGAAATATACAGCTGTTCGACAAAGTATTCACACCCTTAATAGTTTTCATGTTTTGTCACCTTAAAAACCACAAAAATCAGTCATTTCATAGTTTTATGGAAAAGAACAACATTAAGTAGTGCATAATAGTGATGATTGGGGTAAAAGGAAGTATGGTTTACACATAAAAATCTGAAAGTGCAGCATACGTTAAAATTAAGCTCCCTTTTTACTCAGATGCACCTAGATAAACTTCTTTTAGAAATCCCCTAGTGGATGTTTTCAGTTAAACCTTAGTATAAATCCAGCTGTTCTTACGCCACAAATGTGAAACAAAAAGGGATGAGCACATAAGAGAAATCAGGAAGGAGGATCTGGAAAGATTTAAACCAGAGTGACGTAATGAAAGCAATCTCCAAATTATTATTCAATAATGGAAAAGAGCTCAGGCAGGTATTGAAAGATTGCAGTTGCTTACCTGACTTCAAATCTACCAAGACATGATAGTTTAGCTGAACTACAAAGACTAACGCCTCAGGAACAACAGGACTACATGCTCAGAACTGATGTATTTTGTTTTAGTTTTTGACAAAGGTCATGTAGGGGAGATGGAATAAATTATTGGACCATTCCAGAGCAGACGCCATAAAAATCAAGCACTTTAAAACATGGCGGTGGCATCATCATGCTATGGTATATGGGGCTTTTTTGTATCAGCCCCCTGTAGCAGTTTCTGGAAACATGAATTAAGCTCATATATACCTGAAACCAGTCTTTAGGATTTAAGAAGATGGTGTTTTGCATGGATGCGGAAAAATAAAGACTTATGTAGATATCATCAATACATAAACCATTTTTTTCCTCAAAAATCTACTCTGGAAATGTATTTGGATTTTAAGAATCACAGACCGCTGGATAAAAGAAAAAAACATATTCATGTGATATAATGGCCTAGTCAAAGTCCAGATCTAAATTCAGTTGATCTGTAAAAATACCTAAAAACTGATGTTAACAGACATAAAAATGTTCCTTTATTTTCTAGTTATGTTTCATTTAGTGTTGGTCTATCACATTAAATTCTAATAAAATAATATTTTGAGGGTGTAATCTAACAAACTAAGATATCTTAAGGGGTGTTTACACTTTGATGAGTCACTGTATGTAGCTCCTCTCTTTGGGTTGTAATGCAGGAGCTTAAATAAAGTGAAAACAGTAAAAACAAACAATGGTCCAATGTAGCACAGAATCAGCACAAGTCAGTGCCATCAACTATCTAACTTCAGCTGAAAGCAGGAAAAACTGCATTTGCAAACAACCGGGATAGATAAAGGGCAACCTCTGCTGAGGCAATGGAAAAGGGCACATTAACCGAGGCAAAACAAAAGACTTTGAAGGCAAACAGGTCAGGCCACTGGGTTCAGCCCAATCATCTTTTCCTCATGTAACAAGGATCTTTTTGGGCTTTTTGTTTATTGAACTTAAAAACTTTCAGGTTCAGACAATGGGAGAAAATAAATAGGGAAGAAAAGAATCTGTAAACGAAAAAGGCACAGTTGAATCTAAAAAGCAGCAAACCACCTGTTTATGAGGAGATACTTTATCCTCACACATGGATTTTTTTTGATGGAGGATGATTTATTTGATCACTCCTGTGTTTCCTGATAGTGTCACAGCTCCCTGATCATTCCCACTGTGCTGCCAAACTCCCTCTGAGCCTCGCTGCTGGTAAAAAAGCTGCATCACTGTGACACTTTGCCTCCATTAATATTTCCAAGAGCCTAGAGCAGAGCAAATCTCCTGCTGACCGTAACCTCCCTCCCCCGCTGTTGCTCCCAGCATACTACAACCTGACAGTCAACCCCCCCAACCCCTATTACATCCATCCAACAACATAGATAAGCACAAAACAGCAGCATGACAAGCTGAATGCAACAAGAAATGTGACCTTTTCATAGCCCAGGCTGGAAACAAGCAGCATTCAACAACATTTCAGAAGCACTGGTTGCAGTTTTCTGTTTAGGTTTTAATTTTGATCAAATCCTTGATGACGTCAACCAGTTAGGTTCCTCTTAGGCAAACTTCTAATGAAAGGTTTATCCTCATTTTAACCATTTTCTTTTTCCAAATGATGCAGATGTTTCACTTTACTGTAAATTCAAGGCAATGTTCCTTTAACCATCCATCCACCCATCCAATTATCCATCTGTTTATCCATGGATACATACAAATTATAACCTACCCACCCATCCATCCATCCATTTATCCATCCATCTGTGTATTCATCCATCGATCCATTTATCCATGCATCTGTTTATCCATGCATCCCTCCATTTTTCTGTTTATCCATCCATTCCTTTATTCATCCATTAATTCATCCATGCATCCATCTATTGTTTTTTTAGCCAACCAGAAGAAAAACAGATAACCTCCCTCTCTCTAATATCCTCCTCCAGCCTGTTTTTTGTCGCCTCCGAACCAGCATTCGTTGACTTCAGGGTCATGGCGGTGGGACGTGCCACAAAAACCTCTCAATGGAAGCACCTAGTTGCCATCTTGATAGGATCCACAAACTACCTTAGATAAACTGTTTCATTTCAGAGTATCAGCAGTTCTACTGTCAGTTTCCCCCAGATGACAGAGCTCCTCAGGGCTGTATGCAGCCATCCTACAGAAAAAGACTGATCATGTTATTTCAGTCATCAACCTTAATTAAAATTCTTAGTTTTAGACTTGAAACAAGATCCATTAACAAAACTACCTGGCTTACTGCCATTTCTTCTACAGATATGGTACAGATCCAACCGGCCAACACATGCTTTATCCCACCTCTAGCTGAGAACATTAAAACAAGACACCTGAACTCCTTTATTTGGGGCAAAGTCAAACTCCAAATCTGAAGGAACTATGAACCTTTTCTGTAAATTGATTTGCCCCGTTTAAATAGTGGAGAACCCTGAGTTGTCATCTGATCCAGATGTCTGGGCCAGTCCTCCAGAAAGAGCTGAGCCAACAGAAAGGTCTGAATGTATCAGCTGATTTACAATCAGACCGTTAACCATGGTCAAGAAAATAAAACTAAAAGAATAAGATTATGAATACAACAGCTGAGTTAAGCTTCCTTCATAAGGTAGCTTGGCTAACCATAACCAATAGTTTGAGGTGGGAGTAGAACTGCTGAAGGGAGTCAGCCAAGTTCATCAGCTAAGTGTGTTAGTTCCCACGATGAGAGGTCCAGAACTTTCTGGGGAGGATTTACATGTTTTTATGGCCTGGAAACATCTTGCGATTTCCTCTCCCCAAAAATGAGCTGAGTGTTCATCCTCAACCTGGTTTTCAAAAGTGCAAGACAGACAGATCTGCTGCTGGACTAACCAGTCCATTTCAGTTAACTATAAATCAATTAATCCAGTCATAGGGCATACTGCAAATGCTACAAATATTCCAATTTTAGCTTCTAAGAATGACAGATGAATGATGCAACCTTAAACATTAAACTTGATTATTTTTAATGACGAAAATAAAGGTCTTATCTCAAAAGAGCTGAGAAGCTACATAAATAGAAGCCTCACTAGTTGGGAAATCATCTAGCAAATATAAATGAATAGACGGAGATTCTGTGAACAGCTGAGGAAATCTCCAAGGACCAAGGCACTATAGACCAGAAGCACACTTAGCAAGCAGCTTCACTCACCACCTCCACTCACAGCACGCCTCCTGGTCTGTTGACGGAGCTTCAGCGTATAATAGCTGATCCCTAGCTCTAATTAAAAGCCATCTTGTCGTGTTACATCCTCGAGGTGGAGGAGGCAAAGAGAGGACACTTGTTTTTCTTCTTTGTGGAAACTCACTAATCACTTTTTCCATTTGCTGAATACCACCTTTTGTAGCAATAATCCCCTTCAAGCCATCAGGATAAATCAAAACAGTTTTGTTTGTTTTTATGACTGTTGCTCTTTTTTTGCACAGTGTGAAGTCATGAAGTGTCGCAAACCTCCTGAAGCTGCAACAATCTTCAACGACGAGAGGGTGCAAAGTGCTGAACCATGAAGTCGGATAGACAAAACAGATTTTTTTTGTTTTGCCAGCTACGTTTACATTTTCTTAAGATGATGTAAAGAGAGGCAAGAAAAGCGAAAGCAGGGGCTTAAAACTACCAAAGGGGGATCTGAAAAGTGAAACAGGATGAAGCGAAATAAATCAAGCTGGGTAAAAAAAATTTGTTTCTGTCATCAAACTTGAGTGCACCACAGAAATGTAAGAAAAAGAAAAAACCTGTAGGTGTAAACAGCCTGCCAGAGCAGCATATCCATTTTGTATGGAGGGGGAGTCACTCAGAACCTTTATCCTACTTACAGTTTATCTTCCATATAACCTACCTTAAAATCAGTTTACTATTACAGACGAATAAGTGTAAGGACTTTATGTTAAACTAACAAACTGCTTCACAGAACCTTTTGTCAATGTGGGGGTGAAGGTTGGCAGAGTTGAGGGAGGCAGAGGTGAGTTCCTTCCAGGTTTGATTAAATTAAAAAGGCAACAGAAACAACATCTAAAAACAAAAATACAGGAAACCAAAAACCAGGAGATGTCAGGGGACAACAAGTAACAGCAATAAACCAGTAAAGTTGAACTGGAGAGGTGGTGTATATATGGGGGACAGAACAAAGAATGTGCAAATGAGGTGATATGGAGCAGGTGTGGATAGAAGTAACTAGAAGGGAGCCAAGGGGAAAGGAAACAGTCACAAGGGGGCAACAGAGAGTAACTCAAGAAATACAACCCAGCTTAAATATAACACAAAATGGAAAAGAACCAATTACCGTACCAAAAAAAACAGATTGACATAAATAACAGGAAACTCAAAAAGAAAATCAAAAAGAAGTCCAAAGGGGGAGAAACATAAAACCTTTGGGTCAATATCCAAAACACAAAAGGATACGTTTTGAATGCTCTACTAATCTCTAAGATTATTTCACAGAACAATTAGGTCCCTCCCCTAAAACATAAAAGACTGCCTTTTTTAATGATCTGCTCTGAAGCTAACATAAAGGGGTGGAGTTATCTTCAGGCAAATCTAGGTGGCCCCAAGCTTCTAAAGGCCCCTTGAAACTCATACACATGTAGATTATACAGTGATTACTTATTAGCTCATATTGATGACGTTTTAGACTAAAACCCTTTCACTACATTACCATGAAAATGCATGTTGTAATATGCGTATTTCATGACCCCCAACCCGCAGTCTCCTGTATATTGGAGCAGTCCATTTTACTGCACATGTGCAGAAAGGATCCAGGAAGCAGGCAGCAAATATATGAAAACAAACAAATATAAGAGAGAAAAGAAGAGAAAAAGAAAAAAGACAAAGCAGGAGAAAGTATGAACCTAATTTAAAAAAAAAGGACATAGAGAGGAAGAAAAGAAGAAAAAAGGTAAAAGGCAGATGTGGGAAAGAAACAGGAAGAGAGGGTCAAAAGATAAAAACAAATAATATGTGTATTCTGTTAAAACATTTGTATCTGTATGATTCCCCTGTTGCTTTGTGTTGTCTTCTCATTTCAGAAGGCCCCACAGAAGTTTAAGGCTACTTTTTGGAAATGACCAGCTGCCTCAGCGGAAACGTACAAATTCACATCTAGAACCAACCATGAACTGCAAGGTTATTATCAGAAAACCAACATGTGAGTTCCATGTAACTGACAGGTTAATTTCCAGATCGTCTCCAACAACTTACTACTAAATAAACTGCTGATTAATTTCTGGAACTTACAGGCAATTTTTAAAATACATGAAGATTTCTTACAGAGAATTTTCAGAAAAGCTACCTTTAAATAAATGCATGGATTACATTCATAGAAAACACAGAATACTGTCACAGACAGTGAGTTTTCAAAGCTTACCTTTAAGATGCAGCTTTTTATTATACACCTAGACTTTATTTCCCATATTTTAACTCAAACGGACACTATCCTTAAACCAACATCTTTTAAAATATACCCTAAACTTACAGGTTACAGGCCTACAGGCTGCTGTTGTACATATTAGATCATGATGTCATTTGTAGCCTGCAGGTTGCATTTACGGAGCCTTTGTGGTTTTTTAAGGGAGCTTAGAGACCACTTTTATTAAAACATAAAAGTCCACCTCTGTACCCTGTTTGGAACCAGTGTGTAATCATTTTAGATGCATCATCAAGCTTTTCTGATGAGATCGAATAAAAACGCCAAATAATAGAAAAAAAAAAAAAGAGTTGGGTTTAAACCCCATTCACTCACCAGGCGTTCCGACATCGGCGTCTTGTCACTTGCAGGTAGATGTTGCTCCAATGCCAACACGATACAGTTGGCGATAATAGTTGCCAGGATCATGTACTCAAATGGAGTGTGAAGGTTAAGGATCATTCAGAACATTTTTAAAACACAAATCTGCTTCATTTGTGAGGTTAAAAACAATAAACAAGACAGTTATGGAAACAAAACATTACAAACACAGTCCCTATGGAAAGAAAAACATAACACCAACCATAAATCATTAAGACAGTTTTGTTTTTCTATTAAATATATAGGTGAAGCTATTTCATGATTCTGATCCTTTAAGGTGTTTCTTTTTGACTGACTGGCGTTTTTCATTAATTAGTCAGCACCTTGTACCGATATCAGCATATTTTTATTATCCATTAGAGACACCCAATCCAATAATTTAACAAAGAGTTGTCTTTTTTACTCCAAAGAACTGATTTTGAGACATTTTCTGTTTATTTATTTTTTTCATTTCCTATTAACACTAAATGGGTTAACCCCCAGAAAACCAATAATTTGAGCGCAAACAATAGATTCATTATAGTTGTTTTTCATAGTGATGAAAGCGGATCAGATGCTGCTCTCTGCTCTTGTTTGTTACAAAATCTCCAACTTCCCGGCCCTGGCCATTTCACTGTAAAAACAGATTTAATTAGCAGGAAATTTTCTTACAAAATTATGAAAAGTTACTCATGGCTTTAAACAATTGAGTTATAGTCGAGGCAAATGATCTGTTTCCATAAGAAAATGGGCTCTTAGAAAACAGATCTAATTCATTTAAATGCGTAATTTGTATCTTATAATAAGTGCTTATTTTTAGATTTAGTGACATAAAAAAAAACTGTCCAATGTATTTTAACATACACAGTTTAATTATTAAGTTATTAACTGTATTGTATTATTTAATTGTACAAATTTCCAGAAAATATTCTCTACCATGGCCTTTCAAAAAAAAAAAAAGATATATCATATATTCCCTTTGTTCTTATTATTATTATATAACCTACTACTGTATTTCTCTCCACTATGTCAGACTTAGACTTATTTGAAAGGCACCATTGAACTTTATTTTTTTAATCCAACATAAAAGCAGCTCTTCAGGTTTGCCCTTCCTATATGTAAGGACTGAGGACACAGATCTCTACAGTTCCTGCAGTGGCAGTCATGATGGATTAATTCAAGAAAAAAAATCTGCAGAGAAATATAAGACCCAAAGACTAATTAAATACTTAATCAGTGGTTTCTATGACGATGCATTCACTAAAATCTACATGCTGTACCAGAAACAATTTTGTAATGGTGAGATCAGCATGTTCTGAATCTGTCTGCCATGTTTAATGAAGAAGTTATGGCAAATAAGATTTGGGGTAGAGTTAAATGTAACTGAAACTCTCCTTTTTTATGCCTTCTGGGATGATTTGAGAAAAAAGTCTTAATCCAAAACATCTGCATATTTCTAATTTAAAACAAATTGGTTTTCAGATTCAAATGCCGAAGTTTGTGATTTAATCATTTTTCATCTAAACTTTTTATGTTTAATATAATAATACTCCCATAAACTTTAAGACCTAAACTGTTATTCCCTAAAATAACATGAAAATGATCCATTTAGTCATGAAAATCCAACTTTCTTTGAGCATTTTAAACGTAAACTAGACTTACCAATTCTGCAGGATGGCTGAGGCACAGTGTAAAAAAGTCAGGGGGGTTGGTTATTTTAGATAAAATTTTAATTAGGATCTACTAGGAAACCAGTTTCATTTGTTTGTATATTTTGTTAACACTAAAATGTATTTGTAGCAAAAGTAGTACTTTCTGTTCAATCTATTTTTTTGTCTTGGTTAGGGTTCCTCTGTCACCATCAGTGCAGGATGGTATGGAAGCCATCAGCCTGCGGTACTGCTGAGTTGTTTAAGGAGCTCAGTTTAATCTAACAGCGTCCTACAATTTACCTGAACTAGCTCATATTACTCCCATTCTAAAAGCCCTTCATTGGCTCCCAGTTCTGTTCTGTATAAATAGTAAAATCTTGGTACTGACATACAGAGCTCTGTACGGTCAAATTCCCTCCTATATCAGAGACCTGTTATATTTCTATAATCCCTCTTGGAGTTTCAATAAAATAAATGCTACTATATTTTGTCAGTAAGGAAATATAAGGTTGGTTATACGACATATTTCTGAGGCAAGATAATTCAAAGTGCTGGACATCAGGGTAAAAAAAGAAAATTATATTGCTTTGGCATAAAGGTAACATGATTAAAGAAGATAAAATTAATAATTAAAATAAAAGGTTTAGATTAAAAAGATGAAATTATTAATAAAGTAGGAAAAGACGAGTTGAACTGGAAACTTAACTATTAATGTTAAGATAGAACAGTTAAAGGCCACTCTAAATATAAATACATTTTTATTCTAGATTTAAAGCAACTGAGGGTTTCAGTGCTTTTGCAATTTTCTGGGCATTTATTTCAGATTAGTGGAGCATAAGAAAGTTAAGCTGCTTCTTCATGTTTGTTTCTGGTTCTGGTTCTGCAGAGCAGTTTATATTAAGTAGACCTGACAGTTCTATGTGGTTGATCGATGACAGCGAGTCTGAAGCTACTGTGTTGTGGAGCAACGCCATTCAGTGATTCATAGACTAACAGAAGCCTAACAAAAAGCCAGAAGAATGACTTTTGACTGATGTTCTCTACTTTCTTAATTTTAGTGAGGATGCAGACGGCAGCATTCGGCATCAGCTGCAGCTGTTTGATCGACTTTTTAGGCAGACCTATGAAGAAACAACTTCAGTAATTTATTCTACTAAAGATTAACTAATTAATTAATTTTCGCAGTCCTGCTGAGACATTAGTCCTTTAATCCTGGAGATGTTTTTTGGTGAAAGAAAGCCGACTTTCTTATGGCCAGGAACGATCCCTGATGGAAAATAAACTCAGCAACTCTGTACAACCCCCAACCAACCCCCCCCACCCTCATAAAAAATAACTGTTAAAAATTAACTGCCTGCCTCATTTTCCATAGTTAGTTTTTCCTTCCACTAAATGTTCCCATGCTTGAAAATGGCACCTACAACCACTTAAGTACGCAAGTGATACTTTATCTAAATACCTTATGTGAGAAGGGTGTCATTGACTCGTGTTTTTATCTTTACTTGCTTTTATGCTGCTTCTATTTTCCTTATTTTTTAATGCTTTAATTCGGAGGTCTTCAACAGGGGGTCCACGACCCCTAGGGGGTCCACGGAGGTACTAAATTGGGGTCGCAAAAGTTTTGGTTGATTAGACTTTTTTTTTTATATTCCACTAATTGAAATGTCTTTAAATACACATTAACACAAATTCAACAGACTGTAGTAAACATATAAATGGAGGCAGAAGATGTCTTTCAGACATCAATGCACACATTCAGCGACACACAGGAGCTCTTTCAATCTAGGCACCGTTTCATTCACAACACCTATCCCATCAACCAGGAATCAGAATCAGAAAAACTTTAATAATCCCAGGGCGAAATTACTTTTGTTACATTACTCCATCTGTAATAGAGTAACTATAGGACCAGTTTGATATAACACAGTTTCAAACAATATGTATAATTAGGGGGTCCCCGCTCCATCTCACCATCATTTTGGGGGTCCTTGGCCTGGAAAACGTTGAAGACCCCTGCTTTAATTCACATAAAATGCTTTCAATTGTCTTTGTACTGATTTGTGATAAATAAATTTACTTTGTCTATCCTTGCCTTGCCTGTATTTTGGATTACTTTCTGGTTAGCTTGCCCCCATGTAAGCGATAAAAATGGTTACAGCATGTTTTTACTAGAAATCACTAAAATAAACCCATATAATTAGTTACTTAAAAAGTCAATTATGGGTTTTATAAATCATCAAAATGATCTGCAACGCTTGGGTGTAGTCAGTCGATACACTGAACTGTGTTCACTTTTTTGATTCATTTCCTTAAAAGCAACTTTTTTTATTGAGAATAGTGCTGTTAAAAATAACCGTTCGGGTGTTTTTCTCTTTTTAACCCTGTGTAATGATAGTTCCCTGCAATATTCTCCTCCTCCTTAGTTTCAGAAGCTAATGTGTAGCATGGGGAGGTTCTGCTTTCTGTGGACATCTTTTACAGGGATAAACATCAGCGTGGGCGTGTTCAGCACCATGGACAGGGACGCCAACTCGGTTAGGGCGGTGCTGAAGTCACTGACATGTATTTTGCGCTTTCCTTTCATCGTTTCTACATACCTGGAGGAGAAACGAATGAAGAGAGATCAGATAAAGGCTGTCTCTCCGACTTTTACTCCTGCCTGCCAACGAGAAGCCGCGTAATCAGTCGAATCATCAAATTATTGTGAGCTAAAACTGCCGGGGAAGCCTGGCAGGTGACATTCTGACAAAGGGAACTTATCAACCAAAGAGGGACACATAAAGAGGTCTTTTCACCTGCTCAGCAAAACACTGTTGTGTCAGCTCAAACAGAGATAAGGAGCGACAGGTGCAGCCAGAGGGAATGAATATAAAACAGAGGCTGAGGAGAAGGAAGTGATCGTTCAAACTCCAACTATAAATAAGCGTCTAAATAGGAAATCTGTGAATGCTTCGCAGTGACTGTCAACCTGCTCAGGAAGGATATGGCCACTCTGTTATTCGCTTTGCATACTTCCTGATGAGGTTGTCTTCTCGGAAGATGAACAGGGATCGGTTGACAGTGAAGCAGTTCTGCTTGACGGGGTTCGGGTTGTAAATAGCCATGGTTCGGGCTCTCTGAGCCATCGACTGCTTGTACATCCTCTGGGCACCGCCGCCGCCTGCGCCGCCGCCCCGGGCGCCCCCTCTCCCGGCGCCCGGTCCGCCTCTCCCTCCGCCGACCGTGCTCCCTCCATAGCGGCTGGGTAGATCGTCAGCGAAGCGAGCCATTCTGGAAACGTACAGATCCGACAAGAGGGGAAATCCAAGCAGGTGTCAGTTGCAGTGAAAGGGAGACGCATCACCTCAAGCACGCTTCATCCAAAACCACTGCCTGGCGTTTTAGATTGGAGAGAGGACAGCGTTTGGAGGATGGAAAAGAAAACACGGGTGGCCTCACTGTTAACCACCTCACCCTGATCCTTTCCATTTATTCATCCTCAAAGGAACCTACACAAAAATAAACTTTCACTGAGGCTGTTACATCCAGATAAGGAGAGATCTTTAAGTGGAGAAAACCCAACCCTCAGCTCCAAATCCTGACAGCATCGTGTCTAAACACCAGTTGAAACCCTCCCCTTCAGCTCAAAGAGGGAAGCAAAAATCCAAAACAAAAAGGAAACAAAATCCCAGTTCCTCCTTCTTCCCTCCAAGCCTGGAACGGCCACAAAAAAAAATCAGAAACAACAAACAAAAAATCCCCAAAGGAGCCGAGGCCCTGTGGTTCCTGTTTGATCGCTCGCTGGATGAAAAGCGACTCCTCTGAGGTGCGTAAGGACGCGCGCATGTGACCAGGGCGAGCCTATCGCTGACGGGAGCGCAGCGCACAGACGCTGCTCATTAGAGCCGGAGAAGCCTAATGAAGTTTGGAGAAACCCCGCGGGTTCAAACATCAGCCTTTGTTCCTGTTCCTACCAGCGTAATGAGCAGAAGAAATATGGCTATGATCACCTCTGGCAATCATTTTAAAAGAAAAGCTTCAAAACTGAAAACCTTTAATTAGAAACTATGGAATCCAGCTGGTGATTTTGCTGAGTTTTCTGATACAATCTATGTATCATCATATCTGCACAGCTCTTTATATCAATATTTCAATTCCTTTGATGCTTGGACTTTAACTGGGACAATGCAACATCTTTCCCTTATTATAATTCCTCCACCTCCTTGCTTGCAGCATGATGGCTTCATCAAAATACATCAAACTAATAGAGACTCTTTGGCCAGAGATGAATGTCATGATCAGTGCTGTCAAAAAGAAGGAGGTAGGAAAATAAATCAGGAATTTCAAAATAGGGGGCTCATGTTCCTCACTGGCGCTGAGGAGAAACTGTATAAGGTTTCCCACAATCCTTTGCGTGATACTACTATGACCCCTCACACCCCGACCATGGACTGTTCTCCCTGCTGCCCTCAGAGGAGGCTTCAGCATTTGATTCAGGTTCAGCAGATTCTGCAACAGTTTCTTCCCCACTGCCATCAGACTGCTGAACTGTTGAAAAAATACTTAATATTTGCATCATATATATTAATGCTATGAACTCCTATCTCAATGACTTTATAAACCATGTTTGTTTTTGTTTTTCTCCCACACTGTTTACAACTGATCACTGCCGCACTTTGTGAAGTGGAAATGTTAATTTACTGTCTGCAAAGCTGTTCTAAATGATTTTTTAAATATATATATACTCTGTGTATAAAAAATGACAAGAAAATGTGTCTAAGTCTAAAAAAAAAGGACAGAAAATTAAGATGAATATATTATTAATTATCTGTTCGATACATGAGTTTGAGTCTGAGTTTTTTTGGTTTTGATTTTAGATTTTTCTACAGAGTTTTCCAAAAAGATTTTCTTTGCTAATGTACACACCTTCATATGTTTTGGGTTTTAAAACGATCCTCAGCCATTCAATGATTTATGCAACTTTTCAGGAAGGCTGTAGTCCCAATTTGACTGGCATCATTCGTGAGCTTTTCCGTTGTGGGATAGTTTTTTTACTGTTGACCCCACAAAAGGTAAAGGGATAGTAGCTAAGAACAGAAGCTACAATTTAAGGTATTCAATTTCAGCTCTTACTGTTCACATAAAAGGTGAAGGAATAGGAGCTTGCAGCTTTAATTGTGATGGACTTGGTTGCAGCAGTTGTTTGGCGTGGAATGGATAGAAAACCTCGTCTGGACCTTTTACTGAGACAATGAAACTACCCCCAATCCCCAGCTCCCTCCCAAAGGTATGTTGTTGCTGAACAACCCCATATCATTACTACACTACCACCATGCTTATATTGATCTGTAGGTTTTAGGTAGGTTTCATTTTGTGTTCATGTCTTCCAGCAGTTTCCTCATTGCTTATTATATTCCAAAGTTCTTCCCATGTTCTGCTATTTTTGCTTGTCAAGCTACTCTGTAACCCTAAGAGAATCATATTTAATACATGATTTAAGACCTCTACATCATCAGCTGTAAACTTTCACCTCCCATTATGTATAATTTTAATCATTTTTAATGTAACCTTTTTATAGGCGGCCTACTCCGAATCAGAACAATGGTGACCAATTGGAGGCCATGATCCTCTGCATGCATCCCTGGTTCATAACCTGAACACCTGAATCAGATTACTGATTCATTAGCAGTCCTCTTTAGCAATTTATATTTCTAATGAGGTAGTGTAGCCATGCAGAACACCACCCAATAAGGTCTAGAACAGGTCTAGTTCTCTTGATCTTATTTCCTGCATCTTTTAGATGCATCCCTTCTCCATCACCCGAATCAAATAAAAAAGTCGTTCTCAGTTCTCTGCAGAGCTCAATGACTGCATGCCAATAAGGGATTCCATCTCTTTGTTTCAGCTGTGCTGGAGCAGGGATGCATCTAAAAGTTGCATGATAGTAGCTCTGCAGGACTGAATGGACACCCCTGGATTAGGCTGACATCTGGGGGTTTGCTCACTATGCTGCAATCAGAAGCTTACATCTGGTACTGGTTCTGTAAATCCTTTCTTTTCTGCCTCTAAATGTTCTTTAAATGTTATTCACACCTTTGGGTCAGCGGGGAGTGGTTCAGCGTGTCGTGCCTCCACAAAGCCCTGTGAACACCATCTCTTGTTGCCGCTCTGCTTACTCCATCTAAGGTTAAAACTGTGTCATCTCCTTGGCTGATTTCTTCATGGATGGTTCTCCATGACGGCTCAGCGGGCTCCTCTGTATAAGCCTCCATCTTCTCAGCGGGGGTCTGGTCCTCTTCAGCTCGCTTTAAAGTCTCCCGCCTCCTGTCAGGTGACTGAACCCAGGTGTCCACATAGTCTGCTCCCAGTGTCAGCATCCTCCAGGAGCCAAAGGTGGCTGAGCGGACCGCTGGTGGATGAAATGAAACATTTAAGAGTGGTTTTATGGACACAAAGAACAGCGACAGTGGAAAAATAGAAAATATTCTTAATAATCTTTTTCTTTTAAGTCAGACTTTTATCTCAGAATTTGAAGTAATTTGATAACATTTTGTGAAGTGAATTTTGTTGAATTTTTTGTTGCAAGTAAATAATACGTTTTGTAAATGGAAATAACAAAAGAAAGAAGTCCAGATATAAAACAGTGGGAAAACTTCTTTTAAAAAGGTATCCACAGTAACTTTTCTGTTATCTAAATTCTTTTCATATTTAACTTTTTAAATGTATTTTCTTACAGTTTTCTTTTTCAGACTGAGTTTTGGAAATGGCATTCTTTTCTAATTGTATTTTACAGCTCACGATTCTTAATTAAGAATTGTATTCAAGTTTCATTGCTGGATTGCATTTTTTTTTTTTCCATTTCAATTTGCAAAACCTGTTTGTGTTCTTTTTTTCCCCTCAATATTCTAGTTTTGTTTTTCCCAAAGCAAAATTCACTGCAACAGTGGAAAATAAAAATTCACTTCAAATCAAAATAAACAATTGTGATTTTACAACTTTCATATCAAATTGGTGGTATTTCCTAGCTGCATGCTAGTTTAAGGTGTTGGATAGTTGTGCAAATTAACACCACTTTCCAATATTACATCTAAAAAGTCTGTGGAAAAAAGTCATAACTAAGAATTATTCTTTCCATCATGGTCTAAATCCTTTTCTGTATTTTTTGAAAAGGAAATATTTCAAAATAGGCTTTTCTCTCATTTTTCCTCTAGCAGCCCTTTCTGATGATTAACATACATGAAACACTTTAATTCTGACAGAGACTATTTGCCTTTAACAAGAATTAATAAAACAAACACAGTTTATTTATTCTTTTGACAAACTTTAATGTGGTATATTTTTTTCTATTGAATGGATAGTTGAACTACTTGTTGATGATGATCTTACTTAATTTAGGCAATTTAATTTATGTTTTTGTTGAAAGAGATTGTCATGATGGGTACACTAAGGGTGACCCAAATATGCAGAAAAACCACTAGACGGACACAGGAATAAAAGTTCAACAAGTTTATTTTGTCACAAGCACACTGATTGACTGGTTCTGGCCTGGAGACTGGTTCACCGGAGTCTGCGTGAGAGACAGTTCAGTTAGCGTAGCACTCTGGAGCTTGCTTTCTTGATTGTTACTGATTGTACCTTGAGGGTTCTTGTAGGAAACTTTGAGAGGGTCACTGTAGGATCTGGAGAGGAGTTGATCAGCAGAGTCCGCTAGCTGCTTCAGCGTCTTACATCTAGTTCTGAGCAGACCTTGGCCTTGGGTTTTCCAGCTCTTAGTTCTGAGCTGCATGGGAGTTCACTGAGGTTCTTCAGGTTTGGCTCTGAGGGTCGGCTCGGCAGGTTAGCTCTTCCTGAGCTCCACAGAGAAGAAACTGGTTTCCTGGAAGACAGAGACAAGGGTTAGAATCCAGGCTGGATTCAAAGTCACAGAGATTTCACTGAGAGTCTAGGCTTAGGCGCTGACCAACTGGATCAACACTGCGGCGTTGAGGCAAGGTCTGAAGACAGCTTATGTAGTGGATCCTCTGATGATCTGATGGGCTGCAGCTGTGCAGGAGGTTCACTCAGAAGGATCCATGGCGGACTCTGCTGGAGAAAGATGGAACTTCTCCAGCTCCCAACAGAGTTGCTCTCAGAAATAAGATTTATTTCAGTGGTAATTTGACAGTTAAACCCCTAGTATGATCCAAGTAGCATCCTGACTCCTATGCTCGAATTTTACTGTTGTAATGAACATCCATGTCTTCACATTTAGAGAAAGACAGCACAAGTTTAAGATCTGTGGGGGGTAAGCATGATAGAAACTCGAAAGGCAGACTGAAGTTTGCCAGAAGACAAACACCAGAAAAGGAAGAAAATAATTGATTTACAAAAAATGTTTGATTAATTCTTTAGCAAAGAGGGACCTCTGTAGTGTGGGGGAACCATAAAGTGCCAGCCTGGTACCTCTTCCTCCTGCCTGGTGACACACGTCTGTGGGACGTCATCCTATCTTAAACAAACATGCTTCAAACATCCAATGGGGTTGTGCCGGTTACTTTGACATAAATATCCAAGCCGAATGCTGGGATCTGGACTGCAGGCCGGTTATTTTGTCATCTACACCAGGCATCCCCATAGACGGTCCTGGAGGCCCGCTGTCCTGCAGGATTTAGAGGTTTTCCTGCTCCAGCACAGCTGATTTACATTTATAGTTGATTAACACACGTTTGCTGAACTGCAATCATCAGAATCAGCTGTGCTAAAGCAGAGAAACCTCTCAAATCTACACCTTCAAGAATGGGAGTCAATCTCTGGTATACCTGTGGGGTCATGGGCACCATCTATGCAATGAATCTTTGGATTA